ATAAGGCGAGAATGTCTTGGTTTTCGATCTCATGAGATCTTTGGAGACACCAGAGACAGATCTGTCCTGTTTCTCATAATATAATACTCTGGTCTGCGCTTACCTAGCACCTCCAGCCTCTCGCTTTGTTCCTCCCTCCACTTGCGTAGGCTTTCAGGTTCGGCCTGCAGCCGGTCTGCACTGGAAATGGCTGCATAGGCGTCTGATGGGCCGTTGCTTTCCTGAGATACAAGAAGGTGGTGATAGGTTACTTCATTAAAAGTCCTTTAGTCAGAGTAATTTACATGGGATGATGAAACTTGCGAGTCACATGAGTCAAAAGTCAATCTGGAATCCTCTGGTTTAGCTACAGTTCCTGTCCTGACTCCATTTTGCATTTTGCAATCTGTTCTTTAGTAGTTGAATGCCATTCGAGAAGCTCTATAAATCAAGTTTGTCCCCCTCTGAGTTTTATCAGCTGAGCCTCTCTCACTGCCAGGAAGAAGTCCTGACTGTGCAAACTGCAGAAAATGTTGCAATGACAGCACAGGAAAGGGAAGTTGGAGGAAACTAACAGACAGACATTAAAATCCCTGATACAGTTCTCACCAATTTGTTTCTTCACCAATCTTCAGACCTTCTATGTGCCTTTTTCTCACATAGAAAGTCATTGCATGCAGTTTTCTATTGGCTTATAATATTTGAATCAAAATGATGATCCGGAAATAATGACGATATATTATGAGAATGATGACAACACAGTCTGAGAAGCAGGGACGTGTTCACATAGCAATGCTAATCCAACATTACTGTATTAAATGTGACTTTAGCAGCATGGTTTGGCCACTCATCAAAACAATAACAGCATCCTGAAAAGAAGCCTCTGCAGATGCAGAGTGGGCTGAGATCCAATCAGACAGCTCTTAAGAGGCTGCATGTAAAAGCTCTTCTTTTAGAGAACAAATCATCATCGACTTTTTGTTTAAGAAATGTTAATGGTGAATGGTCACTCAAAGTGATTCACACAGTCCAAGGATACTTCGTAATGTCGACTGAGTGAGCTGAGATCAAACCTTTAATTGTAGGACGACCTGCTCTATATGTGTAAGGTGTGAAAATGTCTTAAATCATTTTTTTTTTTTTTAAATAAAGTAAATAAACACAGAAACCGAGGAAGTATGTGAAGAAGTATTACCCCATGAAGCTCTCCGTTGACAGTGCCATCTACAAAGAAAGAAGAGGAGAAAAAGTTAGATTAGATATCATATGAACAAATAAATCCTTAAAAACACAACGTCACAAACCGGGAAGAAACAGTTTGTTATCATGACAAGACCAAGAAATCTTTGACTTTGACTGTATTTTCAAGATTTTCATACACAGATTTCACAACGTGATATGTCAGCACTTTGAAGCCATTATGAATCTACAGCTTCAAGGAAATGAGGCAGTCTTATCCAAAGGTCATTAAGCTCCATCAGTTTCCTCTTGTGACAGGGAGGTGAGCTGGCAAATAACCGTAGACTGTAAGTATGAATGGACGAAGTCTGAGTGACGTCACCCGTCTGTTCCTGCAGGGGGCTTTGGAGTCCCATCGATGGCGATCTCCATGCTGGAAATGCTGTCTCAGTCTAACTATCAGTCGACCTAATGACAGGCTGAGAGCTGGAGCTGAGGTGGGTTTTAGTAGAGATGACAGATCCGATCTAACATCGTTATCGGGTGCGATGTTGACGGAATTCTAAACATTGTAGAGAGCTGTCTCTCCCCCCCCTCCTCTCTAGAGTCGATGCTCACACAGGTTGCCATGTGGTGGACACTGAAGCTTCAGTGTTTATCCAGCTCTGCATCGGTCTGTAAACCTTTCTGCGTTCTAACCTCTCTCCATTTTTTAAAAGCTCCAATATTGATCCTAGTTTGAGCACGTTTCTGCTCGTGGAGCTTATTAGAAACATGCAGAGGCTTTTTAGGTCGAGTACAATCACTTCTATCTGAACCAGTTGCTGCTTCCATCACTGCAACACCTGTTGGTTTGACCTGATAACTGGTGTCATATCTGGCAAACCAAGGGGCGTCCAAAACGGTCGTGTGGGGGTGCCTTAAAACCGCCTACCTTCTCTGGTCCAAACAAATCCAGAGCATTCAGGACCAGAATCTAAAGTTGGAAGGAGGACATACTGGCTGCTGCATTGTTGTCAGAGAAGCCAGCACTTCAACATAGCATGTTTCCTGAATGTCTGATCATATAGTAAGGTACCTTTATCATTTCACTCACTACACATGTGGACCTTTCAAAGATCCAGTGAGTTTTATCTCAGGATTTTCAAAATAGCTCAAAATGATGATTCATATCTAGAATTAATAATATTGTATCTGTGATTCTCGAACTGAAATATTAAACAGGAAGTGGTTTAATGCTAATGTTAGATGTGTTCTGGGTGTAGCTCATGTTTCTCGTGATTTTCAATATGTCTTTGCAGTTTCTTATCAGTCACTTCTTCTTCTGCTGCCTCTCGTGTGTGTCGTGCAGCCAGCAAAATAACGTTACTGCAGCTTTAAAGGAAGCAATGAATGACACGTCTTATCAGGACACCGCTAATGCTATCAGACACATTGCTGTAAGCAGCAGAAGTAATAAAGGTCACATAAATAGCGTACAATTATCCGAGTGTTTCATTTTACGTGACCGTACGTGTCTACGTCTCACGGCTGCTATGCTACGCTAACCAGCTAGCGTTAGCATGTCTGTCTGAATGGGCTTCAGTGTCCGCTCGGGGACACAATGACGCCAGTTCTCGTCAAGATCAAAGTTTCCCTTTAAAACGATTTAAAGCTAAATGACTAGATAAATCGTTTTTTAAAAAAGGAGGTAAACAGTCTCCGGTATCTTACCGTTAGAGTCTCCAAGCGATGAAGGGACGTCTCCGCCGTCCAGGATGCTGAAGCCTTCGTCGTTTTCAATACCCGCGATCTCGCTCTCCTGCTGGGCCAAGAAAGCGGCAGCGGGGTCCTCCTCCGAGCCGACCCCGTTCCCAGCAGAGGGAGCGTTGAGCATGTCAAAGTCGTCCATGTTGTGTTGATTTGTGAGCGGAGAAATGTCAGGAAAACGGTTGTTGCAGGTGTAGCGGCTGAGACCAAGACCGATTAGCTCAACGGGAAGAAGGACGAACCAAAAAAAAAAAAAAGAAACCTCAAGGCTAGCGAAGCGGAAACAGAGAAATAGCCAATCACAAAAGAGTATTTTTAACTGATGGTGAAACGCGCCAATCGTGGAAGAGCTGCCTCAAAATTGGACCAATCAATTGTGTGAACCCTCCCGCATACGGGTCCCATGATCCGCTACGTGCTGTCATGAGCTGTGAGACGAGTCCGCAGTCTGTGAGGCGAAATTAAAATTCATCATAAATATACACATACAAATTATTTCATATATTTAATATAGAATAAAAACCCCATACATAACACAGGACTTAACAAGAATTAGCTGAAAAAGAACAAGGGTCCTGTCTATCATATCAATCTTTTTAAATTTTTGTTTCTTTTGTCCCTTTATTTATTTTATTGCTGTTGACCACTTTATCCATCAGGAGTCCTTCTTCTAAAATCTATTATTGTTTAAATTTACCTACTCATTTACCTTTTGCACACCTGCTTTTACCTTTATGCAGTTTTTTCATTTTCTGTGATGTGATGTAATTTTCTCGTAATCTTATTATTATTATTATTGTTTTCAAAAATGTTCCTTTTTCCCCTAAAACTGTTCAGCTGATGTAATCTTTATTTTGTTAAAACATAATAGGACAATTCACAACAAATGCAGAACGCAGTTAACTAGACTGGCTCTCTCAGAACCGCGTCCTTCTGTCAAACACCAGCAGAGTATTCAGCCTTCTCCTTTCCACTCTGCTATAAAAAATAGTGAAGCACCTGGGTAACATTACCAGCCCGAGTATATTGTCCTGATGGTAAATTATTAACTAAGAGCTCAGGTGACAAGAAAGGACTCACTTGACTCGAGGTATTCGGCGTGGATGAAACACATTTGTGTGAAGACACAGGATCCTTCTTAAAGATCTCAAAGCTGCAGTGTTACAATCTTCGGCTTCTCTTCTCTGTTCATGCTGTTTGATTTGTTTTGGTTTCTTGAGAACGTTCGACGAGGTCACAACTACAGTATTGCACTTGTATCATTTTCACATTTTTGCACAATAAAAACAGAAATCTGGATTAACACAGCCTGTTCTGAGCAGGGCTGAAATAGAGGGGTTTATAGATATGATCAAATACAGGATCAGAGTGGACAAGAAACTTCACACACGTTTTGTGAAGCTCTGAGACTTATTTAAACTAGTGAAGAGATGTGAACTTTAAGCATAAATGCTGCACGACTGTCAAACCGGAGGATGCTGAGTCAAGTGTTTCTACAGTATAGTTCAGGTTGAATTATGCTTTGACTTTATATATCTCTAACGTGTCTCTAGTCCGTATACAAACCCCTCAATGATGAGAAAAGTCCATCCTTCCCGTCTTCTTCCTGCTCCACTTTTCAGAAAATTTGTGCTCAAACAGGCCGTTTGGAGATTTTCCCTTCATGACATCACAAAGGGCAGTAACCCCTCCCCCAGGTGGGTGACACTCCCACAGCTAGGTGTTTGTTCTGCCCTCTGAGTCTGCCTTCTCACCATAAACAATAGGACATGGAGTGAGAAAGCCTGAGACACCCGAGCCCTTCCAGAGAGGGGGTGGTCAAACACAGCTCATTTACATTTAAAGGTACAGACACAGAAACAGCCTGTTCTGAGCAGGGCTGAAATAGAGGGGTTTATAGGCATGATCAAATACAGGATCAGAGTGGATTTAGAACAAGAAACTTCACACACATGTTTTTGGGAGCTCTGAGACTTAGTTAAACTGGTTGAAGAGGAGGAGAATATGTCACCTTTAACACATGATTAATCACAATTGTAAATAATTAACTGTTTGACAGCCCTTGTTAAAATATAGGACGTCCATCAAGCGTGTAGGTCGAAAACACTACGTTTTATTTATCTGGACAGAAACCACATTAAAAAAAAAGTTTTAAAATTAACAATAAGCATGTCATGTATACAACAGTTAAGTATACATACACATAAAGCACATCATTCTTTTCACATAAAGCATTTCCCAAGAAGGCATGAAAAAACAGAAATCATAAGGACTGTGGTAAATAATATGTCAAAAACATAATGTGAATCAGTCCTCTTTATTCCGTAGCAGCTTGTGACATTTCTTTATTTCAGAGAAGTCCTTTAACTTATTTCCTTAAATTACCTATAAAGCCTTTAAGACTCCATCTTAATTTCCCCTCCAGACACCTCAAATAATTTAACCAATAACAAGACATGGAAATGTAACATCTTAACAGAAACTCTCATCCCAAGGTTGAGAATAACAAATTTAAAGAGGAGAGTAAAACAAAAAGATTTTCAGGGAAGCTTCAGAAGAATGTTTCAGAAATATTTTGGTCACGTATTAAATGAGCTTCTTCGTCCTGCATGACGAAACAAGCAGAGCGTGAGAGTCCCTCTGTGGGCTGAGTATTTCTGTTTGAGGTGAATTTCTCAGAATTTCACTTTGACAACATGGGGAGCGAAAAAAAAGGGTGGTGGGATATCTGGTCCCTGCATTGGACCCACTTTGCAGAAGATGTATCGCAGGCTAGATACCCGGCAACATCTGTTCATCTATACATTTTAAAAATGTATTGAACTCGTGGCACATAATAGTTTGAACGTATTGTGACTGAAGCCTTCAAAGAGTTTCCCTTACACATGCTTATGTATCTGAGCACTGCAGGGTCTTTTTTTTTTAAAGCTGTGCAGTCCTCCTGTATGTAGCTCTGTTTAGGAAATGAGAACTTAAAATCTTCAATATATCCTCCTTGTTGCATAGTCTAACACCATGCTGGCTGCTCCGAGTAAAGCGGGCTCCTCCAAGTGAGACTCGACCACCTTGATGTTCTGGGCCGAGACGAGGGCTTTCTCCAAGATGATGTTCTGCACCGGGGCCTGGTAGTAAGAGGCCAAGATCCCTGACAGAATCACCATAGAGGGGTTCATCATGTGGAGGATGTTCACGATGCCCATACCCAACGCTGTGGAGGCTGGAGAGAGGAAGAGGAAGACGGGGAGAAATCAGCCATCAGAGACTCACTAGAATTTTATACTTTATTTAAAATGTTTCCACAGAAAAAAGCACAATGTGCATTCTTTCTTGTTGCTCTCACCTTTGTTGAGAACAGCCTCAGCTCTGGAGTTCCCCAGTTTGGCTGCACTGATGAGGTGTGCAGCCGTGATTGGCTCAGCCAGCTTCATATCCATCCCCTCCACCTTCAGCTGCTCCTCTGACAGACACACACGATGAGAGCATGTAAATAATAATGACATGACGCATATTGGCATGCGGACAAAAAGCTGTATCTATAGTATGTGACATCATAAATGTTGTTGACAATAGTTAATTTGACCATTGCACGTTACTAACAATATTACATTTGCTTTACCTAACAGCCTGTGTCCACTGATGGTGCTTTTTGCAATGGCAGCGGCGACATTTTCGACACAAAGCCAGGGCAGTTTCAGCGATCAGCATCCAGAGCTCTGAAACACCCTGCGCATCAGCTGCTTTTTGTAGCTGTGCTCACAGCACTATCAGACGGAAATAGTTCAACTTTTCCAAAAGCGCTGCCCTCGTCAATGTCACTTTCCCCCTCACGAGCCAATCAAAATCAAGACGGGGCGGGACATCTGCTACCAGAGGAGAAACTGGCAGTTTCAGGTTTAGAGCTGCTGCTGATGTCAGGACATGATTCATTTACTTTTTTTTGCCTTGGTGATATTACCTTGAACATTTAAAGGAGCAAATATTTATTTACTGCTCTGAAAACTGAGGTCACAGAAAGCGCTATCGATGGACACAGGCCCTAAATGTGTGTCTGAACTGTCCTCAGGTCTGAATCAATTCACCAATCAGGGTCAGCTTGCACAACAGGCCAATCACAGGCACTCACTGAGGATAATGTTTTTTATTTATTTAAAATATCAAACCGACAGTTACTAATAAGTGGGTGCAGAAACTTCAGGTCATTCAAAGATCATAAATGGACAAAGAGTTCCTTCAACCCCATGAATCAAACCAACCTCTTCGTGAGTCTAAAGTTTTCAAAAATGTTTAGGAACTGTTTTTAAACACATTTAATGTCAGAGGATAAGGAAGTGTGAAAGTTGTGTCAGAGTGAACAAACACACTTTCATAATCTCAGCTTCATTTACTGAGTTAAACTGACACTCCCTCCCCGACCTTCACACTGATGTAAACAAGCGTCTCACCATCGTGCAGCCTTTTGGCCTCTCTCTGCAGAGCCATGCCGGACGCGAAGGCCTCCACACATCCTCTGCTGCCACAGGAACATTCGGGGCCGTCCAGTGAGACCACGATGTGACCCAGCTCTGCAGCGCAGAACGTACTGCCGTGGACCAGCTCGTTCTGATGGATGATCCCTCCTCCAATACCTGCACACACACAGAAAGCAGATACTCAGACACTTCTCAGACCGTCAGAGCAAATACAAAAGTGCTTCATGAGTAACTGAAAGAAGTCAGGACACTCTGCTTCTCAGTGCCTTCCAAATAAGGTCACGATTAAAGCCACTTTCAGAATGAACTCCACTGCAGATGAAAGACTAAATAACTGGATCAATGAAATCCCTCACCTGTTCCTGTGATGACGGTGACAAAGTTCTCCACCCCCTTGCCTTGACCAAACTTCTTCTCAGCCAGAGCGGCACAGTTGCCGTCGTTGTCGACCCAGACAGGAAGGTGCAGAGCGTCTGAGATGGGTGTTCTCAGGTCCACCGAGGACCACTCCTGGATCAGCTTGGTGGAGTGAAGCACTACGCCCTCCTGTGGGTTCACCCGCCCGCCTGTGGACACACCTGAAGAAGTAGAGGAAGAGCTTTTAGATTACAGCTTCACCATGCGTTTGTTATTTGAATGTGAGCGTGAGTTTCTCTTTTCTTACCAACACCCAGTAATCTACAGTTGAGGCCGACAGCGTCTCGAGTGGCATCTGCACAGAGCTTTAATAAGAGCTTCATCCTGGCCTGGAAGGTCTTTGGATTGGGCTGCACGTACTTTTTCAAGATCCTACCCTGAACAGAGAGGGAGGAAGTGAGGGGAGGAAGAGGGTTAAGATTTCCCTGTTTGATAGGAAGCTAAGTGTGCAAAGCTAAACTATAGCTCTGTAGCTGTACGCTGCCCTGCGTAACTGAAGGGTGTTTAACTTTGTCTCTAAGCGAGGATGCCTCAAGATTGATTGGTTACTTTCCTCCCTTAGCTGTAAATGTTTATCAGTAAGAGCACCTGGAGTCGACCACCCTGCATTCATAGTTTAGGTTAAACCAAAGGCTAATAGACATGGTTACATCAGAAAGGCTAACAGTCCATGCAGGTTACCCTCTGACAGACGATGGCCACTCTGAGGTTGGTCCCTCCCAGGTCGACAGCCAGAGCCGTCTGCGTCTCCAGGATGTGGTCGATGTCCTGGGAGATGGATTCTTTCACGGGGGGGAAACAGAATGTCTTCTGGAGGGGCTCGTCCAGGTCAATGGTTCGCAAAAACTTCAGAATTCGAGGCACTGCGTTGCCGTCACCATAAATCTTAGAGCTGATGGGGAGCACGAACACACATGTTCATATCAGAGTTTCTCTTTTTTCAAAAACACGTAAATACACAAAAACAGTCTAACATTCATTTAAGATACACTGAAGGTTTATAATTCATTATCATTTTTTTTTTATCACCGTCAGTCTTTCGGAAAATTAAAGATTGAGCCCTTATTTTGAAATCGTCATCACCAAACACAGATGAAGCAGTTTGTATAAATCAAAAACAAAAAAACTCATGAAGTACCTGAAATAGGTCTGAACTTTTTCACAACTAGTCCATTCACATAAATACCTTTATCTGATAATCAGGGCGGTAATGGAGAGCCGTGTTTTATATCCTAACAGTCCTCAAAACTGAGGATGATCTGGGGCGCTGGTGGCGCAGTTGTTAGTGTGCGCGCCCCATGTATGGAGGCTGTAGTCCTCGAAGCGGGCGGCCCAGGTTCAAATCCAGCCTGTGGCTCCTTTCCCGCATGTCATTCCCCACTCTCTCTCTCTCCCTGAGTTCCAACTCTATCCACTGTCCTATCTCTCCATTAAAGGCCCAAAAAGCCCAAAAATAAATATATATAAAAAAAGAAACTGAGGATGATCTAGAGAGGGAACACTGGAGGATAAAGACTCAGAGACAGACAGGCAGCACACAGGTCTTACCAGGGGTATCTCTTCCCAAACTGTAGCTCCAGAGCGTGGTAGATCTTATTCTGAGAGTCGGCATCTCTCACATGAAGAACATTTTCACCTGGCACAGAGGGAAACGTCATGAACACAGCTGTTAACATAAACAACCTTAGGCTCATGGCATTGTTTCAGGTTCATATACAAGCTGGGTCTGATGTCTCAGAATGTCACTTATGACTTCAGAATATTTATACAGATCAGGTCTGTTTGATCGTCTGTTTCATCGCCTGTTTGCTGGAAACGAACATTCATTATGTGATTTCACTTTTTAGACTGAGGGAGGAATTCAAAAAAGAATAGATTGTGGTGCCAACAGCTCCATGATTGGGCATCAATTGCTCCAGTCATCCGCTCTTTGTTGCTGTAACAAGCCATTAAGTGCAGCTCATCCTGATGGAAACTCCCAAACGCGTCAGCGTCTGGCAGACCCACACTGAGTTAACCCGATTCTTATAATAATAATGTCAAGGTAAATTCACAGGCTTTATTTTTATAGCTCAATTATTTTTCGGAGATTGAAAGGTGGAATTGTAGCCATGCTCACTGGAAAGTTTGAGCATGATGACATCCATTATAAATACTGCGGCACAATTACCACCAAATCTCCATTTTCATTCCAACTGCGTGTGGCTGGTCGTTTTTTTTGCTGGAATGATGCTCATTTGCATAATAGGACCAATTAGTCTCAAATGCATTCAGGCTCATTTAAATATGTCGACAAAGAAAAGAGACTCTGTTTACTCTCTAACACAGTTTAAGGTGCATTTAACCCTTTGTGTGCACTTAGTGATTTAGACTGAGTCTTTAGTTGTATTTTCAAAAAGCAGGCTCAGAAGCCACACAATCCTTTAGTGAATCATGTCTTGAGGGATGCTGCTTCCGTTTTATGGTTTAATGCACCTTTAAATATCAAACAAGACTAGCTGCACAACTTTTTTTTTAAAAATATTTTCACCTGCACTTCTAAAGGAAATTAATTAGATAAGCTATCTGAGCCATGTGGTGCTTTCTTCCATCATTGTAAATCAAAGCAGTGACTTATATATACGACGTATAAACAGTATGCTTTCTTGCTTTGGCAGGTGTTGAGTGACCATTTACGATAAAAGTACCACTTCATAAAAACACATTGTCTGAAGCGGTAAACAATTTCTGTAGCAAGATCTGTTAACAGCTTTTGCAGAGCTGTTCCTAACTTCTCTTTGAGATGTTTAGCCTTCGCCCAGCAGAGGGGAAATCGAAAATGGCAACGATGGCAGAGAAAGCGAGTAATAATTTGGTTTTCTGTCACACCTACCCGTTTCTCTGCCAGTTTGTCGTGACCCCAGGTTGATGACAGGTGTGCCAAAGGCCCCGGCCTCTCGTACCCCACAGCTGCTGTTTCCGATCATGCAGCCGGCGTGGCACACCAGCTGGATGAACTGCTCGAAGGGAATGTGCTTCACTGCCCGAAAGTTTGGGTGCTGCTCGATGCCCTTCTTTCGCATCACTCGCACCATTTCTTTACTTCCTGTTTTCATAAAAACCGCCAGGACACAGATGAATCGATAAAGTTTCAAGCAAACCAAAGTCTAGCATCAGCAAGACACTGACGAAGCAGCAAGTGTACGAACCTGCATCAATGTTGGGGAAGAGGATGAGGGTCTTTTTGTTAAAGGAGATCAGAGCGTCCAGCATCAGACCATAGATCTTGATGGAGTGCTGGATGTCAGTGGTAACTGGATGCTGTAAAGCCACTATGTAGTCATGATCCTGCACGTTGTCCCCTGCAACATGAACACAGTTAACACAGGTATAACTCAAATGTCTCACATGATGTTTCTTTGTCTCCACGTACCCAGCCAGCTCTTGATCACATCCATGTAGTCCTCTCGACGACTAGTGGACAGCAGCTTGTCATATGAAGGGCAGCCGGCCAGCAGGATGCGAGAGTGGTCCTCACACATGGCGATGAGGTGCTGCTCTGCCGTGCGTGTGCAGCAGGCGTGGTAATGGGCCAGTTTACTGATGGCATGGCGGATGGAGTCATCGATCGTACCGCTCACCTGGAAGAAAGAGCAACGGAGGAAAGTTTGTTAAAAAAAAAGTAGAGTCAAGATTTTATAAACATCTATATCATCTACATTTCATGTACAGAGAGATATCCCCCTGTACACTGTAAAAAGTACAACACTATAGTTATGATATATCACTAAGTCAACCATCTCATGTACGAGCGCTGCCTCCTCACCTCTCCTCCCTCCAGGTGAAGTATTCTAATGTTCATCAGCGCTGCAGCGGTTGCCAGAGCCAGCGCGTCAAAGCGGTCGCCGTGGACGACCAGGATGTCAGGGCGCAGCCTCTGCAGGACATCAGGGAGTTTGACAAGTGCCAGACCAACGCTCTCCACCATGGCTGCCTCATCCTCTCCTCTCACAATGGTGTGAAGCTTGGAGCTGATGTCAAAGTCATCCTGCTCGATCATACGAAAAGTGTTTCTGCAGAGAGGAAAGTAGAGAAAATCATAATGAAAAAAAATCAATTAAGGACAAGAGGGTTATGATTAATGCAGATCTAAACCAAGTGTGCATCGTCTACTCTCATCTTACCCGTAGTCATCGATGAGGTGAGAGCCGAGCACCACGACTTCCAGTTCAAACTCGTCGGGGTGGGATTTGATCCCACACATGATGGGTGCCAGCTTGGAGTAGTCGGCTCTGTTGCATGTGGCCACACACACCCTCAACTTCCTCTGACACTTCATCAAACAGAGGTGTAACCATCACACACACACACACACACACACACACAGATCATTTGTTGGTTTTAATTTTTTAGCTCAGCACATAAAAACACTCTCCTCTTCCCTCTGTAGGAATATTAACTTCTCCACACGACTCTGGGCTTTAACTACAGGCTTCTTAAAAATGTTTTTGATTTCACAAGTATCTTAAGACACTCAGTCCTACCTGATTCTGCTCATCCATGTTCTTCCTCTCCATCCTGTCTCTGCTTCTTTGCATTCTCAGATAGTAGAGCTCCTGCAAAACAAGGGAGGAAAACACAGAGTGAGATCCAGAGACGTTTTTTGAAGAGCTTTTTAAGATCCTTTTATTTCAGTACAAACCCGCTCACAGGTCATACTCACTTGGGCCTTCCAATCATTCAGATGCTGTTGCATGAAAACACAACAAAGCTACACTAAAAATGGTTTGTATTCACAGTTAACAACATATACTAATGTACTCTTAAAGGATGGAAAACATGCTGCAGTGCTTTGCATGACAAGGCAAAAGTCACACTCACACCTGGTTCACTCTGGTAACATGACAGAAGGACATTTCTTTGGAGGGAGAATCGTTTCATTTAGATTCACTGGTTTAATTATCAGACAAGAGGCACTAAATCAGCTTAATTATTAATTCAGTCTAAGTTAACCAACAAAAATCCCTTTCCTCTCTGTGTTCAAAACGTCTTGAGGGATCTCTGGTTTCTCCTTCAGCCGTTTGAGTAGTGATGTTGTGTTGACACGTGTCACATAGAGACAGTCAGCAGAGGGAAGAGTGCTTCATGTTTATTGGCTACCCATCTGCATCGGCCAGGACTATGACCTCGGTAAATAATGACGGAGTGAATCACATTGAGATAGTTCAGATCGTTTTCAAACCTTTTTATGTGGGTGTCTTAAACTTTAACTATGTAACATCTAGCATACACCTTCATAACCCTGCCTCTGAATATATTAGTAGGAGGAGTATTCTTGTGACTTCTGAAACACTTCAGTGGTACAGAAGGTATTAGTAGTAGACGTAGTACAACATGTTTGGTATGCTAATAAGCGGCTAAGAATTCACCTGACACAAAAATGCTTCAACACTTATTTCAAAGCAGCTTTTCTTGGCACCACTGGAAAAGCAGGCGTGTCTCATAGCAGTAACATGAACTCTAGCTCTGCTCTTATCAGGACTCCGTGAAGGCTGTTTACAACACCCCTGAATGAACATAGGGACAGATACTGCCACCTGCTGCTCTAAACACAGCATGACATTTTCACAATTTAGCATTCAGAGTCTAGTTCCAAAATATAAAATATTAAAGCAAGCATGCACATTTAGAGGTGTTATTTTTTAGAGAAAACACATCGTGTGCTGGACATTTTTGAGCCGATGTGGGAAGTCACAGGGATGTCGGAATCCAGAGCGGATTGAGTGTTTGGAATTTACAACCCCCCCCTTAGGTTAGCTAAGTCCACTGACTGAACTTTCTCTATTTCACTCCTTTGCTTTCTGGGAAAAAGAATGAAGAGGAAGAATAGAAAACAACAGTTAATAAGTTAATATTGATACATTAGGTTTCCATGGCTTGATCCATTCTATACCAAAGTCTGTGTTTTATGCATTTTATGATCTAATGATGGATTCGACAGGTTTATTTCCTCATTCTTCTGCCCTGCTGTATAAAACTGACCTACCCAAATCTAGAATGAAGGCACTACTCTACAACAAAGAACTGCATTCAGTTCATTGACAGGAGAATACTGAGCCTTCTGTCAAAGAAGATGAATAAAATCTCAACAGATTTGCCTCTCCGAGGACTGTTGTGTGTCATGTGAGTACAGCTGCTTCAAGAATGCTGCTACACGCACGCACGCACACACGGACGCACGCACGCACTTGTTTTCAGCTATAGGCTGCTTTAATCAATGTTTTGACTGAGTTAAATTCCTGGGGCTGATTCACAGATAAACTGGCTCCCAGTAACAAACGTACAAACACAGGAGGACTCCCAACCGACACACACACTGAGCTGATATATTTCCTTCAATTTTATGAACGAAACAGCAATATAAATGTGTGATAGAAACATGAGCCCATGGAATTCTAAAGGTTCATCGTCTGTTGTCTTACATGGTCAGGTTGACCCTCAAACTTGCAGCGTTATATTAGATCATGACAGAAAAAATAAGCTGCTTTAAACTTTTACCATGGGGTCCAACATTGACCTTTTGGTGGGTAGATGAAAATATCCACCAGCAAAGTATATATTTTACCAGCCAAATCAAGAGATTCAAATAATTCCACATACAAGCTACGTAGTTAGCCTAACGCTAGCTCACAACAGACCACATACAAGCTACGTAGTTAGCCTAATGCTAGCTCACAGCAGACCACATACAAGCTACGTAGTTAGCCTAACGCTAGCTCACAGCAGACTACATACAAGCTACGTAGTTAGCCTAACGCTAGCTCACAACAGACCAATTCACATTGCATTGCGGCGTTGTGGAAGCACGCCACAGGCGGAGCTCCACATATACACAGTCAGACATGCACACACACACAGCACTGCGCTCCCCTGCTCAGTTCAGAGTGGGGATCTCTTCGTCCCTTCGTACCTGGGTTACTTACCTGCATTTGGGGTTTGTGGTCTAAATGAACACCTGACTAACACCGGCCATGTTTATAGATATGTTTCTGTGACGATTACAACTCTTCAGTGAGTGTGAAAGCCAGAGTTCAAATGTTAAAAAAATAAATCTGTACTCTGAGGATCTCGTTCAGATCTTCACCTTCCATTATTTTGTTATTCTCACAATATTCGTGTTTTTAATTATAGATTTGTTGCAGTATTTGATACTGTCAGCATCACTCAGCTGTTCTGGTGGAGTTTTTTTTTTTTAAATATACACGGACAACTGGAAGTTCATGAAGAAGAACGTTGTCCTATAAATTCATACTAACAGATTATTGGTCGACTATACGACCAATAATATAGTGGTTACAGGTAAAGAATAGACTCACTCCTTAAAAGGCAAACAAACAAAATGGTACAACATTTCAGTGTCTCAAATAATATTCTGGGAAGAAAGGTTTCTCATGCAAATGCTCTCTTTTTGTTCCTGCAGATAGCGAAGTTATTAGCATTAAGGAGGGAACGGGACGAAAGCCACAAACATTAAACTGAAACCTGCTCTTGTTCTCTGTCTCGTTGTGACTTTAGAAATCGAGATTCTCTTAAGTGAAAGGTGCACAGCTTACAACATTTTACAGGTGAACCTCATTTGATAATATACAGAAATAGAAGTTTTCTTTAGGTGATATGTTCTTTACATTTGCATGAAATATAAAAGGACTTTATTTTCAGTTTCAGGCTGACACTTTCAGTTTGGTTGTGAAAGTGTCCGCCAGCATTACTCGTCATCGTACAACCATAAATCAAATTTACTCTCTAAGGATGAATGCATGATGAAAACATTGAGGGAGGAATTTCAACCACAGTTTTTTTCGTTGCACGCCTTTTACACATCAGTGTCTTTTCTCTTTTTTTAATAATTACTGTGAAAGCATTCTCGGCTGTCCGTCAAAAAGAGCCTACACAATCTCATCTGGCTCTAGGACCCTTAACACTTTAAAACACGCTCGTACTCCTATGTTTAGCAAATAGTTGAATACACGTTTATGATATCAATTGAATTAAATGATTATTGTTCATCACAGGAAAGTCAGAGAATGGTTTTAGCTCCAAACATGAACCTGTTAGAGAAAAAGCTGTGGCTCAGTGGTAGAGTTGTGTCAGATGTTGACGTGTCCTTGGGCAAGAGGCCGACCCTGAGTTGCTCCCTCTGCTATTTCAGCCATGTGTGAATGTGTATGAATGGGATTAGTACATACTGATGGACACTTTAGCCTCCTCTGCCGTCAGTGTGTCAATGTGTGGCAGCACTGTCCAACTAAAAATTAAATTTTCTTCCACTCAATATATAAAAAAATGATAACTTCACAACTTCTTTTTACTGCTCAAACCAATAAAAGTAAAAGTATTCCTGTCTGTCTTTATGCTCTGAAGAAGCTTATTTGTAGTTCTTTTAAAAAAACATTACTCTTGTCAGGATGAGGTGTTTTTTTTTTTATGGCACCCTAATGAGGTTCATCATCTCTGTCGATATCATCTTAGTTTTGCAAACCGTTCCAGTTTAAATTAGAACAGCCACACAGACAAGCTACAGTGAGATTATGACAGGAAGTGTGTGCTGCCTTCCTCCAACTCTCATGTGTCAGGTCACACAAGAAAAAAAAACGCCTTCAGGACTAACTCTTGTGCTTTCACCTGATTCTCATTCAGCACACTGTGACTTCCACTCAAGCATCACAAGACAGCATCAGCGGCCAGTGTTATGGTGTGGAGGGGGGGGGAGTGAGGGACACATGCAGACTGCAAAGGCAGAGATGACACAGCAACGGAGGAAGGCAGAGACTGAGATACTGTACAGGCAGAGTAAAGCAGACTGAGAGAGGAAGGACAGGAAGACAAAGATGAAAGATACATCAGAGTGTATAAAGACTGAGAGGCCATCTGACTCACATGAGGGTTTATGAATAAAGAACCCGGATGCATTTCCATCCCACGTCTCCGCAAATGCTCAGCTAAAATCGCCCTCTGCTGTTCTTTTTTTTTTTTTTTTTTTAATTTCTCAATCCTTTTATCTTTTTGCTGCTCTCTTTAGCTCAGCCGCATTAGGCTACGGAAGGAGGGCATGCATGAGCCAGCGAGCAGCGAGAGGAGAGAAAGGAAGAGAGGGAGGAAGGGTGACATACACATACAGCTGGGGGAGGGGCTGCATGAGAGAGAGGCTGGGTTGGGTTGGACTCAAGCCTGTGATTGGCTGGATGTTGGAGAAAAAAAAGAAGCAAGGAGCAATGTTGTCATCAGGGTCCACACTTAAAGTGTGACTACATCCCCGGGACAGGGCCTTCCTCTGCCCACTACAGAACTTTGAAATGTGCTAAAAGCTACAAAGTTAGAGAGGGAATGAGTCTAGATCTAAGAGGTCAGAGTTACTCACTGCACTGAATCAAAAGCTTCAGGATTACTTAAATGTCAACAAAAAGAAAAGTCCCAACAGGTCAACTCATTGACAGCATCAGAGCTGTAGAGTAGACAGCAGGTAGAGCCACCTTCAACCCATGAAATACAGCCCTGTTTTCTTTTCAGACATTTGTCCTCACTGCCACCGACAAGCAGGTCTTGTGCATCAGGCACAAGACCTGCTTGTCGGCAGCAGCCGCCTCACCAATATATTGCGGCTCGTAGAGAAAGCCACAAACATTTGATCCAAGCACAAGACCTTCAACATCCCCTTCATCCATATCAGTTTGAAGTTGAAACATACTTTCATTCTTCTCAAATTTCTCCACAAAGCCTGTTAGCATAGCTTCCTAGCAAGATGCCGGATGTTGAGTTTCGATTCTGGGAGTGAGGTCTCACCCACTGATCTGTAATAGGTCTGTAGCTTCAGTGGGTCCCCCCCAAGTTTTTATAGCCCTCATGGGGGCCCCCTACTGGCCTGGACCCCCAAGCAGGGGCCTGCCTCGCCTGTTGACAAGGAGCGCAAGAAGCAGCTATAATACTTTTGCGACAGAAAATGTGGTTTGCAGTCGAGGACTTCTCTTTATAGGGTTTGGAGACTAACGCTGGCACTACAAACATCACCTACCCCCAGATCAGCCAACAGAACAATTCAATTGCAGACCTGAGTTGATCAACAACACTACCAAGTACCAATACGGACGGCAGTAGCTCAGTCTGCATGTCTCTCAACAACAGAGTGTGAAACTAGAATTTCAACTCAGGGACTGGTAAAGTATATATGAAAATAAAAAATATAAATATACAGAGGTGTGTAAAAAATTGGTCTCTGGGTTTAGTTACTCTTTAACAGCGTTGGTTCTCTCAATTAAAGTTACAAAATACACAACTGTCAATTAGAGATATCATTACTCCCCTCTAGTCTAAATCTGCTACCTCCGTAACACCTGAATTTTAAACTTTCACCTGAAGGTCTTTACAGAGGCTTCTTCTCGGCCCCTCTCAGCTGGAAAAACCTGTTCCTACCCAGGTAGACAGAGCAAGTCCTCCTCTTCCCTGGTTGTTTGTAAAATCTATGTTAACACTGAAGCATCAGCTGACAGACTAATGTTCTTTGCTGCCTCACCTTTTTTCCAAAACCTCTCTTGCCTGGCTTCAGTTACGGGCATGACTATGAAAGCTGATCCAGTGAATCCAGTAGATCCAGTTTGAGAATAATAATAGAAATATGTCTAACCTTCTGTGTCAGGCCTCATTGAAAAGACTGAAAGGACTGTTTATTTTTCCACACAGGGCGGAGATCAATCTGAACACAGTTTGAGCTACGTTGACTTCAACTTTGTCTGTGTTCTGCTCTAATGGTGTTTCCTCTTACGTCAGCACATGCATGTAATTTAATTTGAAGAGTCTTCAGAATCCCTAGTGAAACAAGTTCATCATGCCAGGTCGCCACAGTATACTTTGAATGTCCCAGTGGGCGGCGTTCACTTCCCCTGCATTTTGTTAATCATCGCAGTAACAATCAGCCTCTGTCCAGACCTGCACACGCCCACAAACTGAGACAGATAAGCATAAATAGAGAAACAGTTGAACATTGGCCTCAACTCCACTCACACACTGCACCATCTGTATCCCTTCATCTCATTGGTCAGGATTGTCTCCGTCCCTAGATGCCCTAAGCACTCTACCTTGATCAGACACAGCTGTAGCCAGAGGTCAAATAAAAACACAGCAATAAAATCGATGCAGCCTGCTGCAGACTGCCACGTCTCAGAGGCACTGAGTTTATTATTTCAGGGACCTAAAGGCTTCTTGTTTCTCCAAAATGGTTCTATGTGACTTTGTTGTTTTATCTTCAAAATAATTAATTTTCAGGAAAATAATTACAAATAGTTTAAAAGTAATTTGAAAGACTTCAAAGAGTCATGAACCTAGTGGAGTAATTAATGTGCCAAGGGGTTAAAACGATAACCACAATTATCACAACATAAATTAAAAAATGATCGATAAAAGTTTGACAGATTTAAACTAGCGCTGGGCAATATATCGTAAAGCTCGATTAGATCGATATTTAATTAATGCTTGATATGGAAAAGGGAACATTGATTTTATTTTTTAAACTACTTCAAATTTTTCTGCGATATTTCGTTGCTCCGCGAGATTTCAGCAGCAGCGCTTGTTGCGCAGAGACGAAAGGGCGGAGGAGACTCCACTCCTGCCGCTGAGTAGCCTCGCTCTTGTAAGCGACCGACACGGAGGAGAAAGAGAAAGATGAGAGCGAGGCCGAATTACTTCCAAAAAAAGGCTCATAACACAGGGCTCGACATTATAACTGGCCCGCTAGCCCGGATGAATGATTGACAGAATCCGTACATTCGCACACAGATTTTAGCGCACGTTTTCTCTACTAAAACACACGTTTGGTTAAACGTTTTTTAAAACCATCAGATCCCGACAAAAGCAGAGCTTAAATCAGCATTCAAAGAAAAAAAATCACTGGAAAAGTCGAGAGTGACAGCACATGACGAAAACAGAAGGGAGAAAAGTTTGAGCCACAGTGACAGACAGCTGGAGGAGCTGGAAGTTAAAGTTAAAGACTAGATCCTAGTAAAGATAAAAGTTATTCACAAAGCATCTTAGCCCTTAAGAGAGCTCCTAAAGTAAAGATCTAAGGATGAAGAGTTTCTCACAGAGAAGAAAGAAGGAGAGATTCCAGCTCTATCACAGCCTCATATTAATGTCAGTCGAATTAAGTAGACTCTTACAGTTACCAGCATGGTGAATAAACAGGAGCACATAAAATATAAGAGAAATACACAATATTTTTATAATTAGAGCTCAATTAATTAAATAAAAGTTGTAATTGACTTTTGCATCAGAATGGTTCAAGAGTAAATTGGTGACTGTTATTTTTTCGAATCAAAAGTAATGTTCCTGGGCCAGTGGTTACAAAGGTCGGGCCAGTGCATTAGTGTGTTGGGCCAAATTATTATTAGCACATATCTGTAATATACAACTGTGTTTGAATAGAGAGGATGACAATGGTGGCAACACCTTAACAAGCCAACTGAACAAATAAAGTGACACTGGATAAACTAACTTGAGTGTTGACGCATTCAGGACATCCTGCTTGGCAAAGGTCACAGATTGAACCATGTTTCTCTCACACACACACACACACACACACACACTGATGAAACTTAAGAGCAAATAAAACTATCGGCCATGAACCTCAACATGACTCTCATTAACATCACACCCACTACAAATGATACATGATACACCTGTTAACCTGCTTGTGAGATTAACGGCTCCAAATGTTTAAAAAGATCAAATCAGTCCTTTAAAGAAATCCATATCAACAAGGCAGATATGACTTCCACTTTTCTTTGGTTACCTCTTCCTCTTTTATATAGCATTTCATTCAAAACATCAAGGACCAATATCTACTTGACTTATCTTTTAAAGGCATGGCTTCAAGATAACAATCTTCAAACAATCATAAAATGATCTTCTAACAAGTTACCATCCAGGGTCTCAGTCTAGCATTTCTCTATCAATGAGATACTGCCATCTAATGTCCACTACAGGGAGGTAAACACCGTCCATCCATACACACACACAGAAACTCAAGATTCTGTTATAGCCTACCAGACAGACAGAGAAGATGTTGATGACGAAGTATGAACCAGATTACCGTAAGGAAGAATATATAAAGCATTGATAAGGGGCACAAACAAAGCAGTTTGCACCACCTTTGGTCAGAGTATGAACTCTTGAATTCAGGGCGCAGGTACAGAATGCCCAGGATGAGGACTAAAGAGGCATTACATCCTTTGTACCGCGCAGAATTCAGCTGCTTAATAAGAACTGATTATACAGGACGAACTCGCCACTCTGCACTTTATTTAACTTGCTGAAATCCCTCATTGAATCATGTGATGCTTTAGTGTGTTTGTATGTGTTCTTATGTGCTGTCCTGTAAATTTTTGTTTGTATTGTGTTTTTTAGCTCTCTGTGCAAGGCAAAAGGGCAATAAAGGTTTCATTCATTCAGTGTTTCCCCTACCATTATATTAGGGGGGCCACGAAAGTTCAGTATACTGAAACTCCCTACTGAAAAGTAAGTACTGCCTACTGAACTGTGGCTATTCGGAAAGGGCCACAGTCACCACCACACATGTATGGAGGCCGAGAAGGTATAATGGCAGCTTTACTTTAGGATGAGTCTGTTTTATTTTTTACAACTAAGCTACTGACTGTACCTTTAATAATGATGGTTAGAAATGGATTATTAGAAATGGAACTACTTTTTTGTATGTTTTTTGACATTAGGGGGTTAAATATAAAAATAAAAATAAAAATAGGATTTTAAATCGATATTTTGGAAGGTCTCCCAGGACCCTCCTCATGGTGGCTGGTCCCTCACTTAGGGACCCACTGATATGGATCACTGTCACTACTTCACTGTCAACCTTGTTGTAAACACTCCCACATCTTCAAGCTGAAATCATGCTTCATGTGCATAAGGAAACATTTTAAAATTTCACCCTCATGTCTGTTCGTCCCACAATGCCTTGCAAACCAATTCGCTCGCCTCCCATAGACAATGAGTAAGTTCGCCTGCGCTCTGACTTTTAGCAATAAAGTTATGCTAAGCTCGGCTAGCGCGTTGATGAACCGGAGAGGGAAACCGGTCTT